TTTCTTCACTAGGCTGGAAGCCTCGGACGGGAGCGGAACCTTTTTTTTTTTTTTCCTTTTTTCGGGTCGCGGCCGCCGCGATTGACGTTGGATCTACTTCGGGGGACATTGTTTTAATAAAGGCCTTGTCAAAGACCCTGTACTGTGTTTTTTTTTACACCACACTTAGTTTTTTTGTGAATGAGTCTGCGGACCGTGTACCGCAGAATCATTCACGTAGGGGGGGGGGACCGGGATCTGGGGGCCCCCTTGTTAAAGGGGGCTTCCAGATTCTGATAAGCCCCCCACCCGCAGACCCCCACAACCACCGGCCAGGGTTGTGGGGAAGAGGCCCTTGTCCTCATCAACATGGGGACAAGGTGCTTTTGGGGGGGGAGCCCCCCTGCCCCAAAGCACCCCCCCCATGTTGAGGGCATGTGGCCTGGTATGGTTCAGGAGGGGGGGGGCGCTCGCTCGTCCACCCCCCCCCCTTTCCTGACCTGCCGGGCTGCATGCTCGGATAAAGGTCTGGTATGGATATTGAGGGGGACCCACGCTGTTTTTTTTTAAATTTCAGCATGGAGTTCCCCCTTAATATCCATACCAGACCTGAAGGGCTTGGTATGGATGAGAGGGGGGACCCACGCTGTTTTTTTTTTTTTTTTTTTTTTTTTTTTTTTTTTTTTATTGCGGACCTTTATTTTTACATTCAGCTTTCAAAATAAATATTATCTAGACCTTCAAAATAAGTAAAATCATAACAGAAATAATTATAAAGGATAAGAAACAAAAATAGAATCACTAGAACTAAGGAAATCTAATTAGATTACATGAAGATATGCCGAGTGCTGTTTATTAAACACAGTAGTCGCGACCGAGTGTCGGCTGTCAGAGGAATCCACAATCAGATTCACTATTAGTCAGTGGCTAAAAAGCAAACGCCCATGGCAGAGGTCTAAAAGGTGTTCTGCACATGCTCAGTTCTATCTGCCAAAGACACTGCACGGGCATCTAGATTTTTACTGTGTCGATTTCCTTGAAAAAAAACGATTTTTAACACATTCTTAATTTTTTTGGAAATAGCAGATATTGTTTAAAGTGAAGTCCTGATATTTGGCAAAGCAAATTTCTAAGTGAACATGTCTCTACAGTGATTTTTCATGGTGTTAGACGTGCTTCTTAGCAAGTCTGCTTTTGTGAGTCTGATTCCGGGCGTGTGTCTTTTTGTGAATTAGATTGGGCGTCTGCTTATGGGCTCTGCTCAATAGTGAATTAGGTTGCAGGGTAAAAAATGGACGGACGCCCATGAAAATTGGGCTTTATGTCCATAAATATGCGCCCACGCCCAATAGTGAATCAAGGCCTTGTTGTCAAGGTCTTCAATATGATGATGCAGATTGATAAGGTGTTGTGTGAAACTGCTTCCAGATGAGAAACGATAGCTCTGATGTTCGCTATCAAGTCTGATATGGCCGCAGACAGTGTGTTTTTGATGTCTAAAGCTACTTTCTGAAGGTCCACCAGACTGGGAAGTTGCCCTGAATTTAAGCCGGAGTGGAGGTGCGCAAAAACAAAAACCTGATATGTGTATAAAAAAAATGCAAGTGCAAAAAAAACACTAACACAAAAGTGCACTTAGGGGTCTGCTTTTAGTCTACCCCCCGAAGGGGGAACAAAGGGTTTCCAACGCGGTCTTCCTAGCTAAAAGGCCTGGAGGACCCCTTTCCTTTTGATCAGCTGAAGCCGACCACCAAGGAACCTGAGGGCTATACCTAGACATCAGGGCAGGCCTGAGGACCCCACACCCTCCATCCAGTGAGGGAAATAACACACACAGAAGTGACACAGTGACAAAACAGTGCATAAAATACATAAATAAATAAGTGGATGCGCAATTGTGCACTGGCTAGGTCCTGAAGCTCATAGCAAAAATATTGCCCTGGACTTACAAAAGAAGTGCAAAGAAAGTGTTTGAAACAGTGACCATGTGCACTTCTCCCATGTGGAATCTCACCCCCATGTGTTACTAAGAGCACCCCTGGGGTGACTACTCCCAGGGGGCACAGCTACGTGGACTCTCTGCCTCCTGGGCATTCAGATCAGGAGGAACTCCCCAGTTTTTTCCTGGGGAATTACTCCTGGGCCCCAACAACCTGTGGGCACCTCAGTTTCTGTTCCAGTTGGTACTAGCCTTCAGAGCCCCCAATCATACCAGCAGGGGTACTCTACAGCCATCCATCCTTGCCAAAAGGCAAGAATGATGCACCCCTACTGGACACTGATATGAACAGTTACTACACTTGATTTTAGCCAAAAGACTGAGAAGCTGGGGCACACATTCAACGCTTGAGAGCAAAGCTCAGAAGTGGGAGTGCTACTGGAAAGACCCAGGTCTATGGCCTGTGTAGCAGCTTGTGAGGCAGCAGAGAGAAACCAGAAAAATCTCCAAGATGTTGAGGCTGTGCTGAGCACCTGAATCCTGTTGAGAGCAAGTGGCTGAGGCTTCTCCCAGTCTTTCCAATCCCTAATGTAGATGGATTCCTGTTTCAAAACAGCAAATGAAGGAGAGCTGAGTTCCAGAGCTCTTGGCTTTTTATGTCAACCTTCCTAATTTTTTTTTTCATTTATAAAAAAAAAAAAAAAAAGTTTGTTTTCTCCTCAAAAAAGCTGAACAACACATTTTTTTATTCGAATTTTTCTGAAACACTCAGTTAATTCTATTGCATAAAACCCTCTATTTGCATATGGTATGTATTAATGACTTTTTTAGGATATATAATTTTTAGAAGGAACAGCTGCTTTGTATCACTTGCCTACAGTGCTTTGCCAAAGTCTATGATTTAATCAGTTCCAGTTTACAAATTTGGCAGCCGTATTCTCCTTCAGAAAGGTGATGGAAGATTTCCCATTAGATTTAGTTCTCTTGAAGGTCACAGGGTAAATTCATAAAGGTGTATATAAACAGTTGTTGATTGTTGGTTGAAAGTTCTCACTTTGGTGTCTGAGAAAGACAGTGAGTCATGAAGATCCTTCTGCTCTTGGGGCTGGTAGTTCTTGCAGAATGTGGTGTGGTAAAGTATGTAACTAAAAGGGCATTTTTTAAAGTTTAAACACAGTAATACTTTGAGAATAATTGTATAAACAGAGTATCATGGAAATGTTAATCTCCATATTTCAAAATCTTTGTACAGGGTTCCCCTCAGAAAAGGAGAATCTTTAGGGCCCGCTTAAACAGACTAGGATTATTGGGTGACTATTTAAAGAAACATCACTATAATCCAGCAACTAAGTATTTTCCATCTTTAGCTCAGGCATCTGGTGAGCCCCTGCAGAACTATATGGATGTGAGTAAACAACTTATTTTTTCCATGCAGCATTTTTTAAATATTTTTGTTTCTAAAACTACTTAGATTTTAGATCTTAGAACTACATTATTCCTAAAATGTTGCTGATTGTTTTCTGTACTATTAGACCTAACTCTACCCAAAACTTTTTTGGGGAATGGCCAGATTGGCTGACACGTTTTTATTACCCTTCATTTTTGGCAGTGTGATGCAAGTACAAAAATTAAAGTGACACTAAATTATATCCGTATTCTCCAAAAACAATCCATACACATCAACTACTTAATGGCCCTGTGATTTACTTTTCATAAAATAATTTCTTACTGTGTTTTTCTGTTGTCATGAGTTCCTGAATCTTTCCTTTTCCCCTCACTTCCGTTTGTTTGAAACAAGCAGTGCAAGTTAATTAGTGCCATATGCAATAGTCTATGCACACACTACACATCCTACAGTCCCTAGTTCAGAGGGGGTGGCTATGTATGTGGGACAACAGAGAATAAATGTGACCACCCTCTTAACAGAATGTCAGATCACAGAATTTAATCCAGAGTTTAGTGTCACTTTAAAAAAATTTGGTTAGTGGGACACTGAGCTCTTTTCCTGTTTAATATGTTTTCAGAGCAAAAATGTTGTGATATATGAGAACCCAAGAGCATCAGGTTTTCTATTTTTCCATGCTTGGCTATCACAATACACTAACCAGATCACAGTGCTAACCCAAGCGAGCTGATGTTGGAGATGTTTAATCATCCACAGTAAGCGTTTGTTTAAATTTAGAGTACGTGTTACTATTTTAACATGCACATAGTACTACCTTGTTTACCATACTTTTTTAAGCATACAGCTATGTGATGGCAAAAACATAATTCTTGTATTTTTTTCTGTCAGATTGAATATTTTGGAACTATTTCCATTGGAACCCCACCTCAGTCCTTCACTGTCATCTTTGATACCGGATCTTCAAACTTGTGGGTTCCCTCTGTTTACTGTTCCAGCTCAGCCTGCAGTGAGTAATTTGCAACGAATTTACAGGAAATGAAGTAAAATAAACACAATGGAGACACAGATAACAATAAAAAGGGGATGGGGAGTTTGAGACTCAAAGGCTGGTAACAAACAAAAACATATATATATATATATATATATATATATATATACATATATACATGTAAATAATTAATTGCAAACATTTTTCACAGAGAAAAATGATGGCTCCACTCCTCTCATATAACAATACTTAGACAGAGGTAATACTAAAAAATGAATTATAATATGCTATATATACAATTGAAATTATACTTATTTATACAATTACAAATTTACATAAGCATCCTTAAAGTGGTAGTAAAGTCGTATACTTTAATTTAAAAAATGGTCCCTCGTGCAGGCTTAGGTCATAATGAACTATATATGAAGAGAGGAACGAGCGCTGGATATGATAGGATTCAAGCTGCTAGCATATAGGTAAACCTCGTATACCCCCTTCATCAAAAGTCAAATACAAAAAATTGCAGCGCTTGAGTGTATAATACAGGGAATTAACATGAATAGCAGATTAAAATGTTCATATTTCAACATGCACCAGATTCCACATTCTTAAATTGTTGTAAACAGTAATCAGATAAGTAATGAAGATCTATCCGACTAATCAAGGTGCATATAGTGATGGTGATGTTAAAATCATAAGTTCTGTGATGTATCCAAAAAAATCCGTGACTTCCGTGATAGGGGAATGACTGTATAATGCACTAACCAGATAGCGCAAGTACATGCGCATTGGAGTATAATGACCTACTCCTGGTCACAGCCAGATGGTCCTCAGCGTGAAGCCCTCAGGAACACCAGTGCACCACTCTTGCCGTCTCCTACCACCAGGGGGAGTGCGCCTCTTTACAGTAACACGAAATCACTTTATATCCTCTATCGCCAGGATTGGTGTACTTTCTTATCAGGAGATCATCTCAGGGGCTCAGCAATAAGACCCAAAAGAAAGAAATCTTGATAGTGTAGTATTTTATTCAAAGGTAAAAAGTAAGTAATACACTTACATGGTAATGTCCAAAAAGCTGATGCATAGAATCCAAAAAGATGGCCGACAGTCAGATGCATGAAACAAGTGGATAATCAATGGTGTGAGAGGTGTCCTTATCCCTAACGCGTTTCGTGGCAATGGCACATTATCAAAGGGAATGTGCCTCTCAACCATGGTCCCTTATATATAGAGGACCTCTTAATTGTGAAAAGACGCATTTTCGCGTCATTTTAGCGCTACTGCGCATGCGCGAGGCTATGACACCCGCGCATGCGCAATGCAAGCCTCCCGCGTCATCGCGGATAACCCGCGCATGCGCAGATCGTATCCGGCGGCCATTTTATAGAAGACCAAGACTGCAGAGCCAGAACAAGGGATCCACAGCCCAGACAAAGGAGGGGTTTTTTGATGGGAAAGAACCAACCCAACACATCTTACCATGCCAGGAGATCTCAACATCACAGCAATCATTAGGGGAGAGTGAGGAGGAGATAACTTTAAAGGTTACACACAACACCAGAAATTTCACAAAATGAAAGTTAAAATCTACAGTAATTAAAAACACAATCACACACAGCCAATGCAATGTGCAAAATATAAAAAGCGAACTGTCATATAAATCATGATAATCATATGATCTAAATGTTAATGTTGATCATAAACATAACATAAATGGTCATGAAACATAATGAAAAATACAACTAGTATGCACCGCCACTGCACTGGGGGCCAGTAAGTTGTGTTAATATGTTTCAGTTTGTGAATGAACAGGACGATTCTCTTCCTTTTCATTCATCTGTGCAGACTTGATACGTCGTAATTAAAAAAAAAAAAAATTAAGGGCTCTTTCACATGTGTTTTGCTCTCTGAAAAACAGCCAGCATATTGATCCTCACTGCATGCTTTAACCCCATTTCACTGTGGCAGAAGAGATAGTGGTGCAGCACAAAAATATGAATGGCAGGCAGCTGAAGAACCTGTAGCAAGTGCACTCCCAGTGCAGACCACACCCCCTGCACCCCCCTTAGTATGCCACTGAGAATAGTTCACATGATAGATCTCAATCAATGAATAGCTACTACAATGGAGGCAAAGACCACCTGTGCCAATAATCACAAATAAAAAATCTGCATAAAATAAATACCTTAATTCATATATAATTAATAATCCATGTGTAAATACATAAGTCACATAAATGCATAATCCCAAGTGAATATCCATAAAATTCTATATGGAAAACATTAATTGCGCCTGTGCTCAAAATCACTTCATAAACCAATATAATTAAGTGTTCTTGCATGGCAAGACCACTTACTGTTATCTCACATACAGTATATATTCTTATTATTATAGCCAAATTTACCACCCTAACTCCTCCCACAGTTTTTACACTACATAGACAGTAATATTGGTCCCATAGGAATGAATGGTGGAATGTTCAAAACTAGAGTGGGAGCTGACAAAAGCTAGAGTGTGAGCTGAAAAATCAGGACATGATTTCTAAACTGCCACCACTCCCTCATTTTCAAGCCCACCTACACGAATTTTATATCAAAACATTCAGCTATCCCTGCTGCCACTAAAAATGTTCATGGCTAAGCCATAGTCCTGATAGTTTTCACACATATGATCATTTGTTTGCAACTCACGCCACCCATTGACTTTTTCACAGTTACTCCAGCCACTCTAATCACACAACAGTTACTCAAGCCACTCCACCCAGTTACTCCGCCCACTCCAGTTGTAGACTACTGGTGGAGGCAAGAACACTTCACACAATTTCCCCAGAAATTGTAGCTTTTCTAGTTGCTTCAGTGATCTTTAAAATATCTGTGTGCTTCACCAGCGTGTCCCACCACCACACACTTATGGATGGCTGCTTATCTGAGAACCAGGACCTATATACTGTACCTAAATATACAGGTCTAATGCACTTGTTACATTCCAAAATATGGACTCAAGATGGCAGTACTGTATACCTCCTCCACATAAGTAGTCACTCTACTCAAATTTGTGGTGCCTCCTTCTCCTCCACTCGGCATCCCCATAAGGAAGATTAAAAAATGGCCTTCTGATCGTATAATGCCATTTATTGAATCCAAAATATTTTGTGTGCCAAATTTGCACTCACAATACAAGATATATAAAGAGCATTTAACATATAATCAGACTTCTGGTCCACGGACCCCTGCCTCAGTGCGTCACTAAGCTCCATCCCATGCGCTACACCACTACCGACATGGCTTCGTCAGGGAAAAAAGATCTAAGTTTAGTCATGCAACTTCCAAAAAGCTGTCTTGCAATCGGTAAGTGCCCGAGCACATGGTAATGTACTGTAAAAATCTAAAGTTCAATATGCATATAGGCTTAGCACCCAGCTGATGGCTGCCTCCCAAGGTACAAAATGCAAGAACGAAAGGCATGATATAATTGGTCATACACAGGGTATTGCAAACAGCATTACTATTGCACAAATAATCATGTAACAGTACAAATACACACAAATTGCTGTCTCTGAAGTGATTGTATGATATGATAGTGAATGTGTAAATCTTGCAAAGGTGGACAAAGTCAAATATATGTAAATGCAAACCAGTGCTGAATATAAGCCCAAATGACGAATGTCATAGTTAGTAGGTTATAATCCAACATGGGAAGGCTGGAGGAGTATATAAACTAGGATCGAGGGGGGAGGGAGAATTAGATTATAATGGGGGTAGACAGATCAGACGGGTCAGTACTTATTGGTGGGTGGAATGGGGAAAGATGGGGGGAAGGCTATGGCAGATGATAAGAAGGTTCCCATGTTACAAACAACCAGTGGAATTGGTACAATTTGTATGAAAATAAAAAATATGCAAAATACGTGTAAACAAGGTGTCAATGAATTAAAGTGTTTGTTCACCAATGCCAGAAGTCTGCCGAGCAAAATAGGTGAGTTGGAAGCTTTGGTGTATGAAGAGAACTATGATTTAATTGGTATTGCTGAATCTTGGCTTCATTCTTCGCATGACTGGGCCATTAATATTCCTGGCTATGTTCACTGTCAGAGAGACAGAGTAAATAGGAAAAGTGGTGGTGTCTGTCTCTATATGAGAAGTGATCTCAAAGCGAGTGTGAAAGAGGACCTAGTTGATGGAGAGTGTGATGAGGCTGAAGTATTATGGGTGGAACTGCACAACTGGGTGCATACTACAAAGGTAATCATTGGAGTTTGTTATAGGCCTCCCAGTGTTAATGAGGAGGTGTTAACTCAGCTCCTTGCACAGATCGAAAGGGCTTCAAGGGCTGGGACAGTGATAATAATGGGGGATTTTAACTACCCGGAAATTGACTGGAGTAATGGTACTGCAGGAACAGTTAAAGAGCAAAAATGTTCCCATGGGCAACAAGTTTGAAAGGTTAAAAATCAAACCTACGTGGCTTACGGCCAAAGTTAAAAAAGCTATAGATAATAAAAAAAGAGCTTTTATTAAATATAAAAATGAAGGAACGCTATCATCGTTTAAAGATTACAACGAATATAACAGAATATGCAATAAGGAAATAAAGGTCGCAAAAATTGAAAACGAACGACAGATTGCAAAAAGATAGCAGGACCAACCCCAAAAAATTCTTCAAAATATATTAATAGTAAAAAGGTGCAGTCTGAGCATGTAGGTCCTTTACAAAAATAATCTAGAGTGGGTGACTGGGGACAAAGAGAAGGCAAATTTATTTAATACCTTCTTCAGCTCTGTGCATACAAAGGAGCATGGGGGAGCTCTTGTCCATAATGGGCATAGTAATAACACAGCTCCAGGTGATCCACATTGGCTCACAATTGATATGATCCAAAAATATTTAGACAGTATAAAGGTGAATAAAGCACCTGGACTGGATCGCATACACCCATTTATAATAACTTCTATATGTGTGGGAAAAGAGATATTGGAGGAGTTTAAAAAAAGACCTCACATAGATGAGTTTCTTAT